ATCTTTTTAAATATTATAAGTTTTTACCTTCTTCTGGGAGTGGTGTTTCTCATATTTGTAGGAGTACAACCTTGTTTGGAGGTGCTTCTATCAGAAATGCTTGATCACAGGATAAAATTTAAACTGATTTTATTTCACAGATTTGAGGATTGGGCCAAAGCTAAAGGCAAGGATTTAGATACAGGTATGTATGTGTAATTGTGATTCAAGTGAGTATAGCCCCTCTTGTGGTGAAAATTATAAATGTTGTATTATGACTATTTTCTGGAGTCCCACGTACTACCACAGTATCTACTTTGACATAGACAGTGTAGGACTTGATTTATTATTCCATACCTTGCATTTTAATGTTTCCCTAACATAAAGATTAGTTTACTGATTGCAGCCGTTTATACAAGAGTTGTAGGGTACTCATTGAAATTAGACCATATCACTGTTGACAGGAGTAAATCTTGATGTATCTTGATACACATTCACTCAATCTCCGACCTTCAATCACTACTCATTTTACATTTCTGGACTTCTGGTAACTATTTGTTCATCGATGCTGAATTACCGGTACCGTACTAGCCATTATTTGAATATGCACACACCTGCTGACTCCGTTTTGTACAATTCATAGTGGCTATTCGTGGCTATGCATGGAAGTATTCAGCAGGTGATGGGCTAATTATGAATTGGGAACGGATCGTGATTTCTCAAAATGCTATCTTCTATGTGGACTCTCATGTGTGAATAGATGAAACATTAGTTTGAACTTGCACTTTGAGATGACACGCTTAGGTTAATTTGTACTTTAGGACTACTGTATTTACCAATAATTGCTTTTATTGGGTCATTCAAATACAACTTATTTTGACATTAGACACATCCGTGATTTACATTAGCTCATACAAACAATATGCAAATACAAATGTAAAGTTTGTAGAGATTTGTAGAATTGTAGGGAATCTGAATTACCGTACTATGATCCACAGTAATTGTAATTTGTGTATATTCATACTATCAAATAAATAACATAATACCACACCCCCCAAAATACCAGTAAACTTAAATGCATCATCACTGGATGCAAGTTTTGAAGAAATGTTATCTATTTACATACCTCAACATGTACTTTTCATCCTTTCAGTTGAACATCAGAAGAGGTTTTATATTATTTAATTTTTTTGTTTTGACATATGTCACATGTGTCATACGTCCTATCTCCAAGTTTGTTTGTTTTTTCAACTATTTTATTGTATCATCATGTCACACAGGTCCAAAATTGTCTAAGTTACCCCACTGTGGTACTTGTCACCATCCCGGATCCACAAAGGAACATGTCAAACATGGCTGTAAACTATGTGACAGTACATCATATTGTGAACCTCAACCGTATGATTTACAGTGTCCTTGCGAGTGGCATCAACAACAAACAGAACTCATGGCTACAACTATTGAGAGGGACATAAAAAGGTTAGGGTCAAAGTTCAGTCATTCATCTTGTTGGTTCGATATGGCGATTCACCACTGCTCACATGGGCCATGTATAACCATGTATCATCTTCACCAGACAAGGTTCATTTATTTGACATTTGCGTCACCTTTATACCTTGGCAGTATTTCAACTATAAACCTGTATTCGATGTTGATGAAATCAAACACAATAGGCGTGATGTGGTGCATTTCTATGGTAAATGGAACACAAAGTTGAGTATTGTGATGCGTTTCCATGGAAACTCAAATGCGAAGCTGCATTTTTTGTCAGTTTGATATAAGACGTAAATTTCAGTTGGTTCAAATTTGAATGCTGATTGATGGATCCAGCTCCTTGATGATTAAATTTTTCTGCGATCAAATACAGCTTTTCCTAACAATATTACGTACAAGATGTAAAGATGGCCATGGAAAGCCAATCTTAGTGAAACCATGCATATTTGACCATGACCAATTACAAGCATGATACATGCAATTAAAACTGACCAAATTTGTAACAACTTGACTGAATTGCCAGAATACATCACAATGTAGGCAGAACGTATTCTCTAATGTCCATTTCACCAACTTTTGTTACGGATATATTCAAAACAAGCTTGTATCTATAATGTTGGTGATCATATTCTTTAAGTATGATTGGAGACACACAGAGAGCATTTGTACCTGTGTTTTTGCTGGAACCATCGTGGGATCCAATTTACTCATTTTTTATATTACCATTTTCATTTTACAGAAAAGCACTGACAGTTAGTGACTTTCCAAACAGGAAAGTGATCAAAGAGTTCTTGGTTTCCAAGGATATATGTCCAACTCATACGATGAAATGGAAACGTCCCATATTGTATGCATTACAGGTAAAGAATATTTGTAGCAAATTAAAACCTGATTAAACAAAATATTTCCAGTGAGCAATCTTTTCAAATGACTATTTTCTCATACGAATTCATTGTTTATTTAAAGTTAGTCTTGCTGTTTAAAGTAACAAAAATCATTTGTTGCCGACAAATCGAAAAGTATTTCAACATCAACTGGCAAATAGTTAGTCCAGAAATATGCAAATGAGTAGAATGATTGAAAGTCACTACATGCATAACGTAACAAGGGTCTGACATTAAGTGACTGTAATAAGCATGACCTTTGCTTGTCCTGTTTTTACATTCAATTTTACGCGTAACGTGGGATCTTGCAGTGAACGAAAAATGATCTATTGACAAAAAAATTTTTTATAAGAAATTGATATAATTGTACATATATGGTTAAGGCAACAGTATGGAGCCAAAAGATTTTGTTGACATGGTTACGTTGGAGTCAAATAAACCGCTTTTCCAGCTTACTTGCACCTCTATTGTAAATGTGATTCCAAGAGCAAATGCTGTTACAAATGTATTATTTTAGAAATTCAACTACATGAAAATGGAGTGGCCTGAGGAGTACACACTGGAGAAGGTTGTCCCTTTGATTACACTATGGGACTTGAGAGATATCATAAAAGGCGGGAGTCCAGTAACCGGGAAACATTTAGAACCAATTATTATTGTGAAAACCAGAGTACAAAAAGGTGTGCCATGTTTGGAGGTTCAATGGAAAAAACCAGGTGAGCGTTACATGCTCTTTATGTTTATGTTCTACTACTAATTGTATTTACGTTGATTTATTGTTAACAGATAATGACTGGATGGAAAACACAATGTGAGAATTTCCCATGGACAAAAATCTTTAATCTCGTTTTAAGTTAGTAGGTAGCCCCTTTAGAAGTGCTTACAGAAATATTTAACTTGGTGTCTCTATAGCAATATACTAGTATCGTCCATCAAGTTTACTCATTTGCTTCTTCAGAACGTCCTTCAAAGCTTGTACTATATATTCTTCCATTATTGATGAAATTATACAAATATATACATTCTCTGTGTTCATGTTTCAGATAATGAGCCAGACAGCGATGAATCCAAGAATGTCTACACCACGATAGAGATAGAGGAGCTCTTTGTAAGAGCATTTCCTCAGATGGTTGCCGATTTTTTTGAAAAAAAGAAAAGCAAACCAAAGAAAAAATGTAAGCTTATTTATTTACCTTAAAATTGTTACTGGACCACTTAGATTTGTTAAAATTGTTAGGGAACTACTCAAATCCGTTAAAATTGTTAGGGAACTACTCAAATCCGTTAAAATTGTTAGGGAACTACTCAAATCCGTTAAAATTGTTAGGGAACTACTCAAATCCGTTAAAATTGTTAGGGAACTACTCAAATCCGTTAAAATTGTTAGGGAACTACTCAAATCCGTTAAAATTGTTAGGGAACTACTCAAATCTGTTAAAATTGTTAGGGAACTACTCAAATCCGTTAAAATTGTTAGGGAACTACTCAAATCTGTTAAAATTGTTAGTTGACTAGTCAGATTTGTTACAATGGGTGCAGCTAACAAGTAAAAATTTAAAAACACTACTGGGTACAGATTTTGGATATTTTGTTGAGTGACAGTTTCCAATATATTATTGAAAAAAAGTAAATAAAAGTCACCCCTACCCTGGGTGAGTGCGCCACAGACTCAATGGCAAGGCCAATTCCACTGGCCAAAATTCATTCACTAATGAATGCGACTTTGGGAGAATCTTGGTTAAGGTTCGTAGGTACTTGTGTTTGACCAAGCCAGGATAGCGCATTGAATTGCCATTTGATAGGAAGATGGCTGCACAGCCCTGTCATGTACCGGTAGTCCCAATAATGAATATGACTTCTGTGCCAAAAATGCACCATGTGTCAGCATTAGCACTTGCAATTTGCACATACGAAAAATGTCCGGAACTGTCGCCTGGCACAAAAAACATTGAAAAAAATAGATAAATAAAAAGTCTTTGTTTCCCTGGAAACAATGATTTGTGATTTCCTAGTGTTGTACTCTTTTTAATTTAATAATTCAAAACCTAGATTGAGTATCCAAAGTTTTTTTTTCGTACTTTTTTTTTATCTTGAATGGCCAGTCACAAGGAAGTCTTTCATTTTTAAAATGTATTAGTATACTAGAATATTATATAACCATTATATTCATGTCTGTCACATTTGTTTTCACAGCTTCTAAGAAAAATGCTTTTACGGATCTTGACCTTAATGCAGCAATAGCCAGTATGGAAGCTCTAACCGTCAATGAAGATGTCTCTACGATGAGTTCAGCCATTGCCGTTAAGGACAGTACATCCAAGCCTTCAGAGACAGATAGAAAAATAACACCAAACAAGAATGTGGCCAATGAAAATGTCCTCCATTGTATTATGAGTCCGTGTTTTGAGAAGGATGATGGTTGTCATGGCAACGATGCACATTCCAATGGAAGTGATGATGACGACTTATGTGTCCTATCACTAAGTGACAGGTTAAAGGTCAGACCATCAGAAGTCGTTAAAGACAAAGCTGATGTTATGGTTGTGGATTTGGAAGCCGGGGACAGATGTAGCCTGGAAGACAGAGATCATGACCAATCAGGGAGCAATATGGTTGCCAGGGAACGAATTGCCAATGTCATCCATTTTCTTGAAGACAAAGACAGTTGCCATGATGATGAAAGAAGCCAAGGTGAAGGGGAAGTGTGTGAATTGCTTGCATTGATTAGGAAAGACATTTTCAAGGAGTCAGAACCAAACAAAACTGATTCTGACTATATGCTGGTCAAGCCTCTAAGGAAGTATCAAAGGTTTCAGTCAGACAGTAACTTAGTTGGAAAAATGAAGAAGAAAAAAGGGATCATGAGGACACAGTCTGCCAGTACTGTAAGTGAACTCTTAGACTTTGAAGTAAAAACAGAAGGTAACCATGGTGACTTGAATCCCCACAAAGCTAAAAGTAGACTTGATGTGTTAAATCCCCTTCAAGTTAAAGGTAGTCACTTCGCTTCAGATCTCAATGTCTGTGTAGACAACCCACCAAAAAATTGCGATAAACTGCCTTCAGAGCCTTCCGAGCCTTTTGAGTCTGGAGTATTTGAAGAATGTACATCAAGTGATGACAAAGAAAGGAACAACCATCCTGTTTCTATTCTTGGTGATAAAACCAAAACATGTGAAGATGAATTCTGTGTGAAACCAGTCAATAAGGATATCAAGTGTAAGCTTAGTAAAGAGAATATTGCTGAAAACAGTCCGTTGTCATTGGCCGATCGACTGAAAATGAAAAACAATGGAGTGTTGCTGAATTGCATGAAAACAATGACATTCAAGATAAAGCTCTTCCAGATCACAGCAATAAACTAAAACTGCTGATGGATCTTGATTTTTCAGATGCGGATGACAGCATTGTGGGGTTGGATTAGATCTTATATTTGATGATTTATTTACTCCCCCTCTTTTATCCTACCCCTCTGTATTGCACTCAATTTGTCAGTGTATGCCCCAGTCTTTCACTGCTGCCTTCCTTATTATAGTATGCCTACCGGTAGTATGTAACATGATTGATTTTGTAGAGATCTTGAAAGAAAAGTAGAAGTCTCATCAGTGCATCTATGAAGTGGCTTTATACACTGTATGATAGTAAATAACAACACATTGACGCCGACTACACACATCTGACTCTAATGGACAGCATTTGTTGTATTTCTGTGTGTATGTTCGATATTATATTAACATGTCTGTCATTATTTGGTTATAGCTTATAAACAGAGACAGATAAAGAAAAACCAAGAAGTGATCATCCAGTCTACAGCATTACTGTGGCCTGTGCAATTACCTGTTTCATTTGCGTGACTGAAAAAGTTAATTAAACATTGTTTTCTACCATCAGAATAGTAAAAAAAGCCAAAATTAGCACTTAAGCAATTCCTTAGACAAAAATGTGTACATCATATATACTACCACTTACATCTAAGATTTAATACAAGTGATAAATTATTATAGTAGCATGCAATAACTTTTAGAGAATGTCTGAATCGCAGTTAAATTTTAATCATGCTATCTTAAAATTTACATATTTCAAGTCTTTAGCCACAAAACACATCTTCGTATGGTTTGATTTAATCAGTTCTAATCATGTAACAATCTTGACGCTGTGTTCGAAACTTTATAATGATGATAGTAATATCATTTATTTAAAAAAAAAGTTAATTCAAAAACAGCAACATTCCTTGTTGATTGAAATTGAACAACATAGAATTGAAGTTTGCTGGGTACATGTTCTTTAAAAGAATTTTTATGAATCAGGAGTCTCATTGTTTTTACATTTTATCTTATATAATCAACTGCCAAAAAAAGAAACGGAACTCCCTTTCATACACCAAACTTTATGTAGGCATGAATGGACATTTATATATATTTATAAAACATTTTTCTTCGCCCTCCCTATCATTTTTTTGCTGCAGAACCAATTTGTAACACCCATTACCCAGGAGTCTTTGCAGTTCTTTTTTCAGTCATAGGCCAATTTACTGCCTTGAAAGATAGATTGCATAAAATTTTGTTGAAATTACAGTAATAAATATTTTGTTCACTGAAATAAATTTAAAAAAATACAAGTACCAGTACGAGGAATACTATTATCGTTTGGCACAAAACAAAAAATTGCGAACACGAGTCAGTTAACTGACCGCAGTGGAGTTCTATACGAGCAGTATTCATTCGATAAGGATTGTGATTGGTCAAGTTGTTTTCAATCGCCATATAAAATTTATAAATATTTTGTATAAAACAAATTCATGCCTTCATGAAACAAGGTGAGCCACATTTTTTATTTTTTGTGAAACTGTTTATTTCAATTTTATGTTTTTCTGTATTTAAAAAAAAAATAACATTTAAATAATGTATAATAAATTGCATGATGGTTTTTTTTAGAAATATAATTTTTTTGCTTCAACAGAAGGTTTGCCTTGTTGATGGCACCCAGCCATATTTCCAAAAACTAACCATGCTTCATCCATGTTGTATGCAAAACTGGTTGTTGGCAATTTGTAAAATGCCTTTTAATAAACTTTCCTACATATACTGACCTGCAGAACTTGAATTATGTACAAGATAATATGTCCAGAGTTTTTTTTTTGTGTTAATAATGTGATGAATCAGCATCTATTGCAAAAGACATCAGTTAAAATACAAGACATAAATGTCACAGTCACTGCTTTTAAAAAAGTAATACGTATAGTATATGTGAGTATAGTCCCTGGTCTACAATTCAGTATAGAGGCTATATAGTGACGAGGAACTCACAATATCAACATGCAAATTCTGGTGTACAATTCTTTTGCATGAAACATAAAAAATTATTGTATTAATGTGTACATGAATATGAATTCAAAAAATGATTTTATATACCGTAAAATAATTTATTTTAGCTGGAATTAATTTTCGCTGAAAAGATATTTTTGGGTTTTTTGTATGGAATTTATTTTACTGATTTTTGACGAGTTGAATGTGAAATATAGAGATAAAAAGGTACTGGTATATTCGCTGGATTTTATTTTCACTGAATCATTCCTTCAGCGAAAAATTCATCAATAACTCACCCTTGAAACAGTTTTTCAAGAACAGTCTTATTAAATATGCACTAGTTCAAAATCATGACATCAACACAAAAAATATGACCTGTTTGATTCATGAGAATCAGAGAAGTTATTCTTTGTCCATTTGAAACATAACTATGATTCCCCTCATACTGGTTGGTATGGTAACCCCCCCCCCCCCTGAGAATGTCACAGGTGTTGTGTCGTATCGTATATGGGGCATTGGCTGGTACCTGCATAAGGTTTTGTGCATATAGGACAGAGAGCGTATTTAAAGTTGCAATGTCAATTTCTCCCTTTCTTGACACCCGATGTAAACATGCCAGATATTTTAGAAAATTTAAATAGTTGAAATGCCAAAACTGCATCTAAACAATGCAACGTTGTCAACTACTACTTAAATATATTAAAAGGCTTGTCTTCGTGCCATGCATGCACAAGATATATGGGTCTCATATAAACAAAGATGGCGACTTTGACTGTTGCGCAGATCAACAAGTACAAACTGAGATGTCACCAAGCTTTAATTAGGTATTTTTAGAGGATTGGAATGTCACCGGCAGTAATTATTGCAAGTCGCGCCTAGGCCAAACCTCAGACTTATGATTTTCATTAGAAGATCGCATTGGATTGTGGGAAAATCAATGTTTATCAAATGTCGCACATGCCCAGCACGGCGACCAGCGCCTTTTAAGGTAGAAGCTATACTCATAATTTTTGACAAAATTCGTCATAAATCGCACGACAATGTTCATTAGTTTATTATGTACAATCATGAAGCTAATGTCCCATGGTACAATTAAATAGCATTATTTTGTGTGTTACAGTTGAGATTTTTGAGAAATAATATTTCTTGATAATCGCTATTTTTAAAACAATTCCATAGAACACAATGTTAAAGAAAAATTGCATTTTTTGACACTTTTTAAAACCCAGATTTTTAAAATAATTCTGAACAAAAAATACTGATTAATTTTTTCAGCCTATGTCACCAGGCTAGATTTTGAGATATTGCATAATATCTCTGCCATAGGAACCTATGGTGAAAGCATTATAATAGTGTCAAAATGGCGACTTTCCACTAAAAATAAAATCAATTTCTTGAAAATAAGGCTGATGACCCCCAATATCTTTCATTCTTGACACCAGAGGGCGTCATCTAGTCAAATCGTGTTAGGTAGTTATAATTAATCAAATAAGTTTCATAATTACAGCTCTGAATTTTTAAAATGCATTGACGCGGTTTAACTTTTAATTACTAAGTTGTAAATAGGAAAAGTGAATGACATGTAGAGTACACAGACTATCTGATTCTAATTAGCATCAAATCACGCAGCTATATCGCAGGTGATCCTACATGTAAGGTTGTTTTATTTGTTCTTAAATAACAATATGATAGAATTACTCGCATTTCTCCCTAATTGATAGTCTAATTACTCAGGCTGCTGCTGGAAGTATATGTGGTCTGGTGCTTCCATTGGTTATCGTCTGCCCCGGTGGTCGTCTGCCCCAAAAACAACGTGGACCTATAACATAGTGCCCTCTATGGTCGAATTGTTGATAGAGAGGAGAAACCTCTATTAAACATCATGGCGCTGAGTCGGGAGGTAAGATACACGTGCTGGTTGTTATTAATCGTATATCCACTTTGTAACATGTCGCATATTTAATAGAGATGTTTTCTCGCAGGTGCAGATAACTGGTATCCGTGGAAAACTTTTCCAAAACTGGGCCCGCACGTTTTCGTGCATACCGGAGTTGTATTTCCTACCAACGAACATTGGCGAAATTAGGCGAGTGAGTAACAATCTATTTATCTCAATGGTTCGTAGGATCAGCGTTGGGTAATAGTGTGTATCGCAATGAAAAGTCGGGAGTTATCGTAAACTCATTGACGTCATTGGTGGAGAATGACAAACATAATTGCTTCTAATTATAATAATGAAATTGAGTCGCATATTTATTTAAAGGGCGGCGGTCGTCGCGCAGCATCCCGATCGATATGGGACTTATAGCGACGTATACAACACGTGTAAAATACATTGTTTATTTACATGAAATTCGAACACGCGCTGCATGACGACCACCGCGCTTTAATCACTTATTTGATGCTTTCAGTATGGGCACAGGTAGCCGATCGAGGAATCATAATGTTACTGTACGTCTGTATGGAGATGGTATCTGCTGGTATCTAGTGCATAAAAATAGACAAGGGATAAAAAAATAAAAAAACAGTTTGAATATTAGTTGCAACTCAAATTTTCCTTCACTTTAGTAGAATAAATTAAAGGGTGGTGGTCGCCGCGTCCTGTTTGATATGAGACTCATAGCGACGTATATTATAACTCTGTGAAATACAATGTTTGTTTACATGAAATTCGAACATGCGCTGAGTCATTGGTAGCCAAGGATGCGAAAAACTGCATTATCTGTATATAAAAAAAAATTGTTTTCAAATATTCTGTGCAATTAGAGCAATGTCACATTTTTCTGTTCAGTCAAAAATCAATATTGAATTTGTTTTTGAGCTTGAAAAAAAAATTTGGCTCAATAGGTTAGGCTCTCAATAGGTCAATATTTTGTGTCAAAATCTGTTTATAATAATTCGTTTTATTATTAGTCAACAGTATGTGAACTAATTCACTACACTATGTTCAATTACCCACCATAGACTCTGATCAGTCAAAATCACTATTTTGAACTGTAGGCATTAATCTGCGATTCAGCCAATTTTGGTTCACTGTTGATCTGTTTTTTGAAAAAAAAAATGGTGAAATAATATGCATAAAATGCCATTTTAGCGACAGTTTCCATAGATCACAATGAAATTTTCTAAATAAATTTGACTAAAAATATCATTTTTTGTATACCGGTACTTCTGGACATCAAAAAATACCTTGTAAAACTCTATATACCGTAAAATCTGTATTAGAAGCCGCATCCCTTATAGAAGTCGCACCCATTCTTTATGAATGATTGAGAACCAAAAAATCATCATTTCTCATATGTGTAGATGCTCTAATAGAAGCCACATCCCCTCTATTGCATTGTCCATTTTAATAGAAGCCGCGGTTTCTGATACAGATTTTACAGTATCTTTTTTTTCAACTTCTGTCATTGAGCAAGATATTGAGATATATCTGTTCCATATGAAACAATGGTAAAATGCCCTAAAACAGACAAAACATGCTATTTTCACTGTATTTTGTACATTTCTCTGAACCAAGTATGGTGATCCAGGACCCCATATTTTTTATTTCATTTTTTTAGCTCCGCTGTCGAGTTTGTCGAGCGGAGCTTATCATATGAGTGATTGTCTGTCGTCGTCGTCCGTGTCAATGTTTTACTTTTTCGACGACTTCTTGAAAACTACAAGCCTGAATGCTTTGATACTTGGTGTATATGTACCTTGGGTAGACCTCTCTTAGGTTTGTTCATTTCATGTTCAATTCTCTAATTTTGGTGAATATTTTTGTCATTTTTGGTAAAAAGTGATATTTTCGACTTCTTGTTAAAAACCACAAGTGCAATTGCTTCGATATTACATATATAGGTACTACATGTGGACCTCTCTCAGATTTGTTCATTTTGTATTGATATCTTTAATTCTCTAATTTTGGTGAATATTTTTGTCATTTTTGGTAAAAAGTGATATTTTCAACTTCTTGTTAAAAACCACAAGTCCAATTGCTTTGATACTACATATATAGGTACTACATGTGGACCTCTCTCAGATTTGTTCATTTCGTGATGATATCTTCAATTCTCTAATTTTGGTGAATATTTTTGTCATTTTTGGTAAAAAGTGATATTTTTGACTTCTTGTTAAAAACCGTTAGTCCGATTGCTTTGATATTACATATATAGGTACTACATGTGGACCTCTTCTCAGATTTGTTCATTTTGTGATATCTTCAATTCTCTAATTTTGGTGAATATTTTTGTAATTTTTGGTAAAAAGTGATATTTTCAACTTCTTGTTAAAAACCAAATGTTCAATTGCTTTGATATTACATATATAGATACTACATGTAGACCTTTCTCAGATTTGTTCATTTCGTGATGATATCTTCAATTCTCTAATTTTGTCCGATTGCTTTGATACTATACATATTGTTCATTTTCTAAAGATGTCTTCAGTTCTTTAATTGAAATGTGCATTGCTAACAGCGGAGCTATCTCAGCCGATAGGCTGCTTGTTTTTTAATAAAATGGAATCATAATTAATTATACAAACTTGACACTAATTTGGGATGACTCAGATAAAGATACTGTAGAATACTTTATTTTCGCTTGGAATTTATTTTCGCTATTTTCGCTGAAGGGATGATTACGTGAAAATAAAATCCAGCGAATATACTTTTTTTCCTATATTTAACATTAAACTCATCAAAAATCAGTGAAAATAAATTCCATACAAAACGCTCAAAAAGCCTTTTCAGCGAAAATTAATTCCAGCGAAAATAAAGTATTCCACAGTAGTCTAAAACAGAGACTTGTGTTTTGTGTTCTATCCATTCATCCATCCGTCTTTGTTTGTTACTAATACACTTCAATTTGTTTCATGATTTGATTCCATATTTAATTTGTGAAATAGTGATTGTGTCTCTTAAACAAAACTTGGAATCTTGAAGTCAACTTATACTCTGATGTTCATGCAAAGAGCATGTAGTAATGATCTGGAATTATTATTTTATAATATTAACACAAATAGTAATTGTATTATCTCTTACAATAAATCCTAATAAAAATATCTAGTTTATGTAGTATTTTAAATTGGAAATTGTCTGTATCTGTATACCATGTAACCCACACCCATGAACCACATACATGTATATGTATGCCATGTCCTGTAAATATTGTACAACAGCTGTACAGTGTCATGCTATTATTATCACCACAACCATATATCCTCACATGTCATACAGTAGTCTGTATATCGTGCCAAGCTTAGTGCTTCATGTTAACATATACCTAAACTTGGTATGTTGAATTCCCATGCATGCCCGAGTTTGTTCAGACTATGTAGACTGTTTATTGATTTAATGATTGTTTCAAAAAGATGTGCTATTAAGGATTAAAATAATGCATGTCTACAGAAGAGGTTGTGCCTGTTCCAATCAGCATACCAAATTTGTTTAGCTCTTGTTTGGACACAGTCTAAAAATGAGGGGCTTATGGATTAGCCTCTGTGCACCTGTCCATGGAGATGTGTGCTATGTGACCGTCCATCAGTCTAAGCATGGTTGAAGTAATGGTTACAAAAGAGCATGTTTGAATGTAAAACAAACTGATGACCCGTCACCATTTTGAATCAAATCCATAGCACAGACATGTATCAAGGTTCCATATACATGTGTGTGTATATATATATACACGAGACACATACTTGCATGCACATGTATTTATTGGTTTCACAATCTGGTTTCTCTCAATGTACTCTTTTGAGGGCACTCTAATCATTGAGCAAGATTTTGGTCTGACAGGGGATGTGTCCATATAACTTATTAATCATTTTTGTACTGTAATTATACGGCCATCTATTGTTTGCTGTGAATTAACAACAAATTTTGCTTGTCAGTTTCAATTAATTGAATACATAATTCACGTTTCATGATTGACAGCCATCTTCTAAGTTGTCTTCTGCATGTTCACTTGCCAGTAAATCCTATTAAGGTTTCAGCCAATGGGCGTGTTTGTTTCATTTTAACAAGAGAAGTCATTGTCAGGTGTCACTTTTTTAGGTCAGGGTTCACCAGACTCATTGTGCAAAGCTGACTTAATTTGTTCTCTTTGTTTAAACTGTCATCTGGTGTCTGATTTGTGCTTTATGTAGAAATAGACTATACCATTTCTAATATCATAACAGGAGTTTTCATTCTGTCATTATAAATCCATTTTTGCATGATTTCCATAAATTTCTGATTCAAATATGACAAGCTTTGATGCAAATAAAAATGTAATTGAACACTAAGCTGTCCAGACAGAAAAGATTATTTTGTGTGTAGATTAGTTCTAGCTCTGTTGGAGGAAAATTGACATTAATTGCTCACGTAATTTGATCTATTAAAGTTCTAAAACACAACACATTTTAAATGTATTGAAGCAACGTACATGATTGTACAATTTAATATATAGTTAAAAAATGTGTTTTTTTTTGATTTTTTTCTACAATAACAAATTGTAGTATAAATTATTGGACTTTTATGTAATATTTGTATGCTAATTTTGTTCCCACTTGCATAGTACAATATATTGTCGCTAATAATGACATTAATTAAGGGAATTGTTAGAATTATAATTTAATAGGTTATATTCATTTTTATTTCCTCATTCTTTATAATTTTAGCTATTAACTAGTTCACTTCAGTACATTTATATATCTGTAGATCTGACTGAGTTTAATTACATTTAGGGTTTAAATTACATTTCATGTACATACATAACACTGTCATGGCAGTTCTATATCAAGTGTGATGAATATGATCATCCCGAACTTATAACTGTGCTGCTACATTCATCAAAATTAATAATGACAAACATGTATGTTGTAAAATGTAGTTCAAAAAATGAATGTTGAATCATATTTCTTGAAAGTCACAGAATAATATGAAATACTACTAGCATTGTAAATGTTAATATTACTAAAACTGTTATTGTATTTAAAGATATTATTTCATTTTTTTTAATATATCTTCTTTGCTTTATTTCAGGTTTTTTAAATAGAATATATCATCCTAACATTGATGAAGTGTAAGTATTTGACACTGTATGATTATATAACATGCCAGTTATGTTGTTACATTGCTCAAATTTATAGAGTTTCCATGTAGTCTGTTATCATAGATCAGTATGTGTTCCACAGTGTGAAGGCGGTGGCATGAATGAACTTTTCATATTTTCACGTCAATATTCACCACACATTTTTCCACACTCAAATCTTTAAACCTATTTTTACTATAACTTTAAGTTAACCTGTATTAAAGTCTACATGTAAGGACAGTATAAAACAGGAGTACTCTTTATATTATATTATGGTATACACCTTGTATTCCCTCTCCCCTTGTATGAAACAATATCAGTTTTAAAGTGGACAGTTTGTAACATGGATATATTTATATATTATATAATGCTTAAATTTAAAATATTTTCAGACAAATATTTTCTAAAATATTTTAACCAAATTGCCAAAGAGTGCTTTAATCTCATGTATAGGCTAAGGGCAATTTATATCACTAAATATTATCATCATTGTAGGT